CGGAGCATTTCGGCCCGCACAGCTTATGCCCTAATTGGCAAACGATGTAATGCCTCGCTCGCCAGGAATCTAACATCGGGTCCGATCTCAACCGAGGCTATGATGGTATCATCTTGTTCTTGATGATGAGAATCAATGAAGTGTGACAGCGCATCTGCTTGGCCCATCTAAACCGTTGACTGATAGAGAATTTCAAAGGCACAGCCCAGCAGGGTGAGTGCACATCGTTGGAGTCGATTGCATTCCCTTCTTCAAGCCGAAACTGATCGTTAGTGGCTTGTGATCCATCAAGAGCTTGAAGCGGCGACAATACAGCATCTTGTGAAATTTTTTTCACAACATACACTAGGGCCAATGCTTCCTTCTCGATCTGGCTGTAGTTTCTTTCGGCTTTCGTCAGCGTCCTGGCGGCATGTGCGATCGCCTTCTGAGATTCATCTGGGAACGACTGGGAAACTACGGCACCGTTGGCTAGAATTGATGCGACCGTGGCAAAAACAATTTCTCGGGACTGGTCAAAGTGAGTCCGGAGTAGGTCTGAAGCCAGCAATGACCTGACCCATTCGAACGCATTCTGGCATTCTGGCCTCCAGTTCCAGGTCTGGCACCTGCTCAGCAACTTGTTCAGCTGGGCACGCAGGCAGTGTAGTTCGGGCAGGAAAACGCTGTAATGACTAATTAGACCACAGAAGGAACACAGCGATATCAAGCCTGCAGGCGGGGGGCATTTTTTGAATAGTTCGGATATTTTCTGGATCAGGGCGATGACCGTCTTTTCGAAAATGAAGCCAAGGAACTTGCTGGTTGGTATAAAAGATGTACACTTGTCTTCACGGATACGGAAACCGCATGATTGGATGCGTCCAAGCACTTCAGTGAGATACACAAATAGTTCTCCTGCCGCCCGACCCATTAAAAGGATATCATCCAGGTACCTCGCGGCTCCGGAAACTCCCGCCAGCATGGTGTTCATCAGCTGCCGGAAGATCGCTGGTGCCGTTTACACTCCAAAAGGGAGGCGGTTGTACTGGTACAAGCCACAAGAATTGTTGATGGTCAGCAATTCTCTCGAGCCTTCATCAATCTCGATCTGGAGGTAGGCATCGGACAAGTCGAGCTTGGCGAACCACATCCTATCATTCAGCTTGGCAAAGATATCCTCTGGTATCGGAGAGGGGTACTGATGGTCATCCCGTGCGGCGTACAGGCCAGTTGAAAAATCGGCGCAGTTATGCACTTTACCGTTTGGCTTTCTCACAGCAACGATCCGCGCAGCCTATGAAGAGTAGTTCACTGGTATGCTGAGAGTAGCGCGTTCCAGTCGGTCGAGCTGCAGCTCAACTGCTGCCATGACTGCATACAGTACCGGTCTTTTCGCCCTGAAGACTGGGTTGGTACTTTCTCGAAGGCAAAGCTATGCGTTGAACTTAGTGCAGTGACTGAAACCACCTTCAAACATGGAGGCAAACTTTTGCTTTAGAGTTCTTGTCATGCTTTCTATCGACAATAATGCATGGACTGGATCGGTTTGGACTCTAATTCAAAGCTGACTCATCGGAACATCAAACAGTTTAACTTTTCCATCCAGTCAAGCCCAAGGAGGTTCAAGTTTGGTTGGTCCGAGAAGTAACAGGTTCCGGTCGGTTTCACTCAGTTGAAGGCAATTTTGCAGGTTATTTCTCCGACCAGCTTCAGCACTCCATCGGATGTGTTGTGGGCGACTTTATTGGAAACAAACCTTCTTCCGCCACTTTATGTGCTTCTAAGTGTTCTTGGAAATGATCGTTATATCTGAGGCCGTATGGAACTGCAACCTGGTTGGGACCCCGTTGATGAGCACAGTGATACATAAGCGGCGGCGTCTAGTATCGCTGTGAAAAGCGGCAATCACTGATAGTGATTCTGTGTTAGGCTTTCTGAACTTTTTCCTTCGGTAGGACTACCTGACGTCTCTTAGCCGGGACTGACGGCAAAAATCTTCCTTGTAGCCGTGTTAATGTCATTTAGCACAAATATGACGCTTGAAAGGACAGTATCGTGCGAAATTTCATTTACCACATGACCAGCAATGTGTGGATGGCTTGTTCGGCGCTCTGTCGAACGGCTTGTTCAATCCAGCCTTTCTTGCCTTTTGCACAGCATGAACAGTATCGGCAATAGTGGTGCGACTCTACTCAATCATACCGGTGTCGTGTATCAAAGTGATCAGTCGTTTGCTTTCGCCTACAAGAGACTACAATGTCAAATCTGGATCTTGATCCAAATTAGCAAGCAGCCGAGTGCGGATTTCCGCGTCGCTTGGAGACTGAAAAGCACTAACAAATATGAGACATTTAAACTGGTGATCCGTCAAACAACGTAAATTGAAACGTTCATATTCACGGTTATCCATGTCTGCTAGTGCCCCATAATTGTCCATATCCGGCTTAACAATTTTTAGACATTGGTTGCGAATGCTAAACAAAGATGTCGACTCACCAAAAATTTCTTTGAGTGTTGTCACTGCTTCGTTGAAAGTGATGGCCTTCGGCTATTTGGGCAGGATGTGGTAAACGAAAATTGAATGTTCATTGATAACGAGCTTGCGGAGCAAAAGACACAATTTCCATGAATCATCTTGACGGCTAAAATCCGTCCGGAACATATCCTCCCAGCGTTTGAACCACGCCTCAAATGTGCATTCGGAATCGACATCACAATGAATTGCAGTGAATGAATTCGTAAGAAGGTCAAATGAAACGACCTGCGTGTCCCGCGTAGCTGCTCCGTTTAACTGTAGGTTCAAGCAATGCGTTAAACTCTCTAATAGTTTCATTTGTTTTTCCATCTGGGATTGTTGCTGAAGAAGCAGCTTTTGAAAATGTTTGGCGGAAAAGTTTGTAACGTTTTCGTGCTTGTCCGTTGCCGTTGTTAGATCTTCACGTTTTCGTGCTATTCCGCATTAAACACCCAAAAAATTCTCCGCAACAATTCTATTCCAGCCGAAAATAAATCAGAAGTCCAACTAGCTTGATCGCGAAAAGCGTGTTAACAAAACCGCCGCCAAACGTAGCCAAAACGTCGTCAGAACGCTGCCAACAACGTTGCACAACTACGCCAGATCTACGCCAAATATATAGGTTGCTCAATGACCTTCGGCTTCTAGAAAACGAAGGTCAACTGGTAGAAATTGCAGCTTCCTTGCCAAAACTCCGTATGTTGACAATCACGTGAAGAAAATTTCGAAAGCAATACACAATGGAGGATAATCGATTAATTGTTAAAATAATGGGTTTTCCTTGATGTTTTTACCTTTTCCCTGAAAATGTGTACTTTGAGGCATGCCAAACTTAGGAGGATCGACAGCTTCAAATAAAAGCCGATGAACTGGGCTTGATCGAATTTTTAGATATTAGATTGTCGATAGGGCAAGAATGACAATCGTGCCTGCACGTGAGTTGAAACTAGAAGTCAGGCGCTTATGAGAGTAAGGTGGAGGTGGGCCATGAATTGTGGGGATGAAAACTGGGGGGGGGTGTGAAAGCGAAGTTGGAACGGGACGAGAAGGATGAGAAAACGCAAGAGGGGAAATAAGAAAACGGGTGGGCTTGGGCAATAGTATCCGGACCCCTATCCACCCTGCTCGATTGAATAGATAGAGTGTTATTAATTATTCTGTGGAACGGCCAGCGAATCAATAAAAGCTTTGAGGGCAAACTTATTGTGTTGCACGGACAGGACACTGCCAGGTTGCGCAGACCTAGACAGAAGAAAGATTAGGGTTCTCAACTAAACCTTTTGGTCCAAAATCGGACCACAATGCAGCGGGTTTGGTGTTGGGCTACCTGGAGTCTGTTTTAAGGAAGAAGGAGCAATTCACTGCAACCTTCAACTTGGAAGACCAGGAGATTGAGTTTGTCTGATCTGTAATCATTGACCGATCTGATATGCGTGAATGAAGGTGTAAATAGCACCAACTAGCATAGCTCAATTGATGGATCAGGCACGAAAACCATCGCACCACTTTAAGGTCCGGCCTCATTGTGATGGATTCTAAGGCAAAAATTCGTTCACCTAGGAGTAGTTCCGCACTGTCGAATTCGTGCCTTGTGAACCCGATCTTCGTGACTTCACCAATAGCGAATTTGAAGAGGAAAGGTGGTAGCGGGCATCCTTGTCTCACACCGTTGGAGATACTGTAGGGCGGCAACAACTTGCCTTGTTTTGGTTGCCTGATGTATGATGGCGTAAAGATCAAGAGGGAAAAGTCTCCTAGGTGTATTGAAAACAGCACCACTGTCCACTGGATTGAATGTGGTCGTCGTGTTCCCAATTCCACACTGGAACTCAAGCTAACCACGTGGATTGGCATATCAGGGAACACGACTAATAACTAACACTAGAAGCTTACTTGTTATGTTCCCGTGGACGGGAAATCTTTCATGGCATATGTGATTCAGTTTTGCCTGTAGGTCTCGCTTTTTCATAACGTGATGTAAGGAAATCCTCAATGAAGCTGTCTTGCCGACGCTCCCCTATCTTCACACCGTAGCCATTCCTTATGATCATACGTTGTTGCTAGGGTGTAGTTCTTATTTCCGGCCCTCTCTCTCCCTCTATTTCTCTATGGTTGTATAACAATGAGGGGTCACTACTAAGCACGGACATATTGTCGTTATTGCTGTTGTGCAGAATAATGCTTGCCAGAGGGCTAAAGAATATGCTGTAATCCCATTGACGCACACTGTTGGGAAAAAGCAGTTAGCTATCTGAACAACAAAGCAAGAACAAGGCCGAATAAAACACCCTGGGTTCCTCTAACTCGGATACGCTTCCTATGTTAGAAAATGACTACTTAACTTCTGGGCACCTTATTTTCCAAAATGTGCACCTATCGTCAACCAAGGAAGTTGTTTGCGTGTGCGTGTGTGTTTGGAAAGCTCGACATTATACTACGCTTATGGGTCTGATTGAAAAATATCATGATGTGTTAGGACTTCAATCGTCTTAAGTTCGGATACCTTGAGATTTCGGATCGGTGGAAGCTGTAATCGACAGCGACTCGCAGAATTCTTCCGTAGTTTGAATGAGGCCTATCGTTTGAAAATCGTTCGTTTCTTTCAACTGGAAAATGCAAGAAAACTTGTGTTAATGTTTCTTCAAAGGACTAACATTGCAAAGCCATAAAGAAGGGATTTAAACCGAAAAGTTTGCAATGCTACTAACAGACGCTTCCGCTGGTATTAGTTTAGTCTGCGTTAAAACCATCTTGGTTTAAGGGTACGTTGTTTGGGCTCAAATAAAAGTAACGTGGCAAACTATTTGTTGTTGTGATGACATGTACATGAAGCAATCGAGTTTTAGTGACCAGATGATCCCCATTGCGCGCGCGTACTCTTTTGCTGTTTGAGGTTTCGGATGGCGTAAACCAGCGCGACAGCTCTCCAGTACGTGTACGAGTGTTACATGTTTCTTAATTGGAAAAGAACACTTTATTTATTTTGTCAACATCTAGTCTTATTTCCGGTTTCCCTAAGCTTCCAATTGTACCTACACATCCCAAACTAGTCGTATTTCACGAGAGACATCTGGTCGCGATGCGCTCTATGATTCGCCGCTATATTGTACATGTAGTAAGAACTATGGTTACCCAGGAGTGTTTACATACATTGTCATCTACATCACAGCCCTACTGTCCGCTGGTTGATTATGAGTAAACTCTTGTGTCCTAGGGGTTTCTGTCCGACAGAAACTGGTGAAGGCGAAGAATCGCAACGAATTAACATGAGATCTCATGGTTCATAATCATGCCATTTCCAACTTCATACTACGAGTAAGCATTTCCCCTACTTAGACTAGATGGAAAGAAGCAGGGTTGCAATTAAAACGATAGCAGTAGTATGCCGGCACATCTCACGGAAGCTTTGCTGTCACGCGGCCACAACCAGCTGCGCGTGGGTTGGATATACAGCGAGGTCGTCTGCGCCTATACGGATTAGAACCAGTGACCACCGGATTACAAGACAAGCGTGTACGTCCTTCGGCCACAGGCCGAATTGGAGACTCCAGTTCGTCAGCACTGCACGGCAGCTGCATTTTAGACGGGTGATTAACACACCTGCCAGGAATGTACCAAATGAAATGTCGGTAAATGTTAAGCTTATTAATTTCCAGTAATTCTGCGTGCAAATATTTGAAAGATGTAGTAGCGCCGCGTCATTTGCTGGTTACTCAAAATTCGTCGCAGTGTCAACGGTTTGAGTAGGTGTTGTGGGCTGGCGTAATGCGTGCATTTTACCTAAGTCCTCGATCGGCCTCAACGAATTAGCGGCCTTACAATAAGCTCTACCTTTATAAAGCATACGATCATGGTGCATCACACTACGATTATTTTGTTCCCCTGTACTAATCAGGGACTGCGTGTCTATTGAGAAATCCGCCACTGTTCTTCGTTAAGCACTCCAGCACTAGCCGGATCTCAATACGGATCACGATTAAATCCTAAGTAACCCTCGGTCCCATTAATCATTGAAAGCATGTCGAAAATTAATAAACTTTGGTCGGTGCTTTTAATAAGGACAAATCGCTCAATGGTTAACATCGTTTATATTTGGAACTTTCAGGTAGGCTAGTCGTGGACCGGGTACGGATTTTCGGGACAGTGGTTGGCGGTTGGTACCTTTAACACTATACCACTAAGGCTACACGTACACTAGTTGTCCAACCAGTCATAAACAATTGGTAGAGTTTTAGAACACCCGCACTTTGCTTGCGTAAAGTCACCCAATGTCAAAATGGTCATGGTGACGTTTACCGAGAGATGTACGTCCCTGCTTCAGTGCCGAGTACTTGTAACAAAAGAGTCTAACACATTACCATCATCCAATTGTATTGCATACTCAGATAGGCAACAAACAACCAACGATTCATGTATGCCTTCTTCAAAAAACGCATTACAAGCTAATCGAAAGTATGACAGATAGACCTGATTACGCTTCAATCCTTCTGCTACAGGAGACAGAACCACGTTTCACAGCCCACTCTGGTGTCGATCAATAAATGCATACAAATGGATAAAAAGCCACAGATTCACAGGGACAGACGAAACGATAAATACTTCTCTCTCTCTCTGTATATATATATATATATATATGTATGTGTGTATGTATGGAGAGCCTATGGTGCGCTGAGGCTAGTGGCGGCTAGATCCTGACAAATGGTCTACCCATTGGTGCTACTGTTTCGCCATAGGCTCATGTCCTGGACGCCTCCTCGTGGCTACCGTTGGGTGGCAGTTGGGTTACGCCCTTCTCCCTGCTGAGATGCAGGAAACCAATCCGCATGAGTCAGTGAACTGCCAATGTGCTAGACCCGAGGCCTCTCGGGTCTACATTTAATCGAAGGCATTGGCTGAAGCCGCGAGTCGTTCTCCTGTTAGTTATGGGCACACTGCCAGTATCCTAGTCTATCGTCTTCGGAGGTTAGGAAGTGGTCGATGGCCCTCTTCCCGTAAAACCTAGCCATGGGCGACAACGGGTCTACGGGTTATAAGCTCACAGCTCGATTGGAGTAGAGCGCGAGCGCCACGCAATGTCTCGGACGGTGGGAGGGCACCTCCGGATGTTCAATGGTTTGCTACTGCCCGCCTTAAGTCAGGCAGCCCCTGGTCAAATTGGTGCAAGCCCGCCAAAAGCCATATGCGTCTGGCCGTGTTCGCAGGTGCGTCTCCTACTACGGTCGAAAAACATATTTGAATCGTTCCAGTACCTCGAAGTCTGCGTGTGACAACCGTCAAGCGGATCCCAATCTGTCTCCTCAATCACAATCCGGAGCTGGGTCTGCACATTACTGCCTTGTGGGTCAGGCTATTGAGCCTAAGGCTCAATCGTATGATACCGTATGCCTGCGCGCAAAGCACTCAGCATCGAGTGCTGGAAGGTGCGCACACTACTGGACCGAACTCAAGTGAGCGCCCCGAGCGGCGCACTGCACTGGTCGAGATAGAACTGGCGCGTTACAACATACATATTACGGCGTTCAGGGAGACTCAGCTCGCTCAGCAAGGTAAGTTGAATGAAGCAGGTGCTGGATATACGTTCTACTGGGTGCGTAACGCCACCACAGCACCACGGGAACATGTGGTCAGGTTTGCAATCTCCGATCGCGTTAGTGGCCAGCTGGTGGGTGAACCAACATGCATCAGCGAGCCACTGATGACTGTACGCTTACGACTCAGAAGAGATAAGTTTGCCACATTATGTTTTCTTGATGACACGGTCGGCCGGTGGCCGAGTGGTCTGCACGTTTGCTTTGCAACCATAAGGTCACCGGTTCGAATCAGCGTAGAGGTGGGCGTCCTCGCGATATACTCAGCCCGCGCGCGACTGGTGGTTGTCGCGCGGCAGCGAAGCGCCGTTACGGCGTACAGCTGACACATTATTATTAGGCTGGCTTGCCGAACAACCTCCTCGTGGTGCCAGCTGGGTGGTTCGGGATTTTCCCGTTTCAGCAAATGGTTCCAAGACGTAGTGGGTTTTCGCCTGACAAACGTTCTCCATATATTAAGCCACATATGTCCGTTTAACAACACTGTGACGTGGTGGAGGTGACTCGCCACCGCCCCTTGCTTCATCCTGGCGAAGCGTTGTATTCCAGCAACGTTACGTTGTAGTTCTGGGGAGCATTGGGCCCCTGTTTGACAAAGGAACAAACGAAAGGCGTATGAACTGAGCAATCTGTCACCGGCTCCCAATGGGCGCGATTCCCTGAATTCGCTCCGCTGCCTTGCGGGCAGGCTATTCAGCCATAGACCCGGGGTGGTGTCCCCTAAGTCAACACCCTACTTCGGCTTGGGCAACCGGGTAATATCTCGCCCTCTGACGAAACCATGGACATTGTTGTGTTGTGTTTTATTTTGCCATTTCTGTACCTTCGTTTGAATCCCATGGTTTCTGATGGCATTATGTCTATTCGTAGACTTTTGCAAATATATACTTGATGACACGCGTGGTCAATCCCACACTCAGTGTCCTCCGTGATACCGTCGGTGCCCAGGAGCGACCGACTTTTTCTGCTGCTTCTTGATATAAACGCACTGTATATGAGGTGTGTGGTTGGAGCTATGAGTGGTGCAGCAAAAGCCACCCACGGTCCCTCTGTAGGCGCAGGCGTCCTGTGCTGGTCACAGTGACAGGCGAATTCGAAACCAGATGCAGCCAACCGCTTCTGTCCTTCTACCCATAACTTGTCCAAAAAGGGGGCATTAACAGAAGATTTTGATGTAATTAATTGTGAATTCTTTGTAGCAGGTCCAAAATCAGATAGTCGTCCATATGCCCGGAAAAGCACCAGTCTGCAGCTTCAAGCTTTTGGACATCAGCAGGAGTGCGCATCCAAAGAATCCATCAGGATTCGACTCGAACCGCCATTCAGCAGCTTATACCACTAAGCCACGTAGGAAAGTGGCAGACCTTCATGATTTACAAGCCAACTGCGATATAGCGCCTCTTGTCTTCTACTGCCATGCAAGTTACACACGTTGCAAAGGACAAGGTTAACCCCGAAATACACCACGTCCACTGACAGTGGCTATGTACGACAGCGTAACTGTACGCTATCTGGCGCGTCCCCAGGATGAGGATCGTGGGAATTCCTTCCTTGTGGAGGTACTTGCAAATAACGCTCGTTTGCTTTGTAGTTAAGATGAATAAGCCGTCGTGGACACTCAGTGGCAACGTCTCAGAGCGTGGGGAGTTCTACCTTGATCCCCTGGTTCTACATCAAATAACATAACAGCTCGTACGACGTTGTGTCATAGCCAGTGTGACCGGCTATGAGGTCACTATGCACTCATTTCCGTAACCAGAAGTGAATAACTAAGGGAGGGTAGATGAACAATCTTGTTGGCCGCCGGCTTCTCTGTGAACTGCTACAGAATAGAAAAAAGCCGGCTATCAACTGTCTTCGTTAATCATCCCGGGGCCTTGCGGGTTAGGTCTTTATGACCAATCGCTCGGGGTGCGGTCCCTTTAAGCCAACCCTCTTCCGAGGCCTGGGCAACCGGGAAGATCCCTGCCCACACAACGCATAAACCTTCTAAACCTTACTAACCTTTCCATTGACTC